GTTAAGGGTAGCAGAGTCCTTACCACTCCCCCACAACCAATCACAATTAAAATTGACCACACAATCTAGACGTTGGGGGGTTGGTAGATTCGTATCCACTGTATTTGTGCTCCCAAACTATCATTACACCAAAACAAAGCAATGTTTCATCTTTCACTAGACATTACTTTTTTTGCATAAAACGATTCAAAGGTTCCATATGGGTGAACTACAAATTCTGTGATCGCTGCAGTGTGGTGTAATCGCGTCAAACTAAGATACGTGGAATAAGGCATGTGCACCTGGAAACAAATTTTGCCTAGTTAACTTAATTAGTTGCGCTGGAACCGGTAGCCTGTAGGATTTTAGTGATTTTACGTGTCAGCAAATAATATATACTTTCTGTCCAAAAATGGTTGCTAAGTTTGAATTTTTATTTTTGGTACAATTATATTAGAAATGAAGATCTAAATTATGTAACTATTTTTAAACGAAAGTAATATCAAATTGTAAGTAAAACACGATGTAATTAATTTCACAAAACTTCTTATATTTAATCTCAGTGGTGTGGTATGAATTAACAATCAACAAATGTAAAGTTAAATAAATCATCAAACAAATTAATATTGGTTACTAAAGTTATTTAAGTAAATTTTGGAAGAAACATGTGCCCAAGTCTTTAAACCTTGTGGGAATTAAATCAATTCCATCAGTTTAACAAGCACAAATACTACCCGAAATATATTTCAAAAAAAAAAAAAGAAAATCCATTTCCCAACCTCTTTGTTAACCGACTCAAAATGAAGGGATAGAGTTCAACTCATTTAAAAATTAATTCCTACTTAAAATATCTCCAGAACCTACGCACTTCCATTAGAAAAAAAAAAAAACCTCAAAAATGGCTATATTTTCAACTCTGTTTGCTGAACCAATTTGACCCCATTTTCTTTTAATTAAATCTTTCACTCACCGATCCATTCTCTTAAAAAGAACATCCTTCTGCCAAACCCATTTTCCACAGAACCAAAACAGCCCCATTTTCTCCCTGTTTTTTTTTTTAGCTTCCAACTGAACTAAAACAAAATGAATTAAAGGAATGGAGGAAAAGTTCAAGTTGCCTAACTCCTCCTCCAGAAGCATCATCCTAGTCATCTTCATCCTTTCATCAATTCTTTTTTTTTTTTTCCCCCTTTCATCGAAGGGGCCTGGTCAGGCAAAGCTCGAAGAGAGGAAGACTGGGGAATAAAAAAAAAAAAAGGGGGAAGGAGATTAGCGTTGAAGTTTTGTTGATGCCGCGGAATCGACTATGATTCTTATTGCCTCAAATCAACATGTTTCACCTATATTACCCGGACTCGGGTATGCGTGTCGGATATGGGATCTAAGCATCGGACTAGTAAACTTTGTAAAATTAGGATACGTGGTATGGATTTAGACACGGGTACGGGTACGGAAATCCTTCTTAAAATTAATTCAAATATTGATAATTAGAGTACCCAGTTATAAATAATTTGAAGTTGGATGAAAAATTAGGAAATAGTTGATTATTATCATCCAAAATTCATATACTTTCACAATTAATCTAAGAAATAAGGGGGCTAAGTTTTAATTAAATGAAAGTTTAAGCTCTTATAACTAATAATTTTATTATATGGGATTTGGGCTGAGAGAAAAAGATAGCATGGTTTTATGGAATATAAAAAAGGAGCACATTGGACCAAGTTGGGTTCATAGGTCAGTGGGCTTTTCTTTAACTTTGAAGAGAAAGACCCTTTTTTAAAATAAAAAGAAGCCCAGTTCGTCAAAATTTTCTGCCTTCTTCGTCAACATCCGGACCGGCGGTGGAACAATTTGAACAATTTTGCAAAGGTGGTCGGCCAAATTTTTAGGACTCACCTTCCCCAAAAAGCAAAAAAAAAAAAATAAAAAATCCTCCCATCTGGTCAACGCGTCTTGACCGACGAAATCAGATCCTATACGGATCTCACATCCGCACCCGTGTCATGTCGTGTCGACACGGGTATTCTACCCCAAAGGGCCGAGTCCGAGTAACATAGGGTTTCACTTCACTCTTTTGGGTTTGAGATTTTAAAATTAAACTATATATTATTCTCGTTTGGTTTTGGATTAAAGAAAAAAAAAAGGGAGTTTTAATTTGAAACTTAGAACGTAACTGTGAAGTTAAAAGCTACCATACTTGGGGATTTAACTTCCGATATCTATAGCGAGGGGTTTAATCTGTTCCTTTTGAATTGGGATATAGATCAGCTTCCTATATTTTAAATGAAGTTGAAGTTGGAGTTGGGTTCGATAAAATTGATGCGGTAGGTAGCTATATTAATTTGCTGTCGTCGATGCTATGGTTTGTGATATTACTTTGAGAGAGGTAGGCAGGCTGAACCACAATCTTAGTAAACTGATTAGGCGGCAACTATAACTAAAATTTCTTAAACTTGAATAGACACTAAAAATGTTAGATGTGAATCGGGGAAACTGCTTTAATAACGTTAGACGGTCTTAGAGTGCAAAGAATTGTTTCTACTACTTAAAAAAAAAAAAAAAAAAAAACTGATTTATGGGAAACATGACAGGGCGAGTTGATATAGGATATTGATTCTGATGCTAAACTTGTGGACATGAACACCAAGGTGAGTAATCTAACTGTATTTATAAATATAATTGCATGATAATTAATTAGGATAATTGCATGAAACCAGGATGCATGTCTACTGTTTGTTCAGTCAATTTTGATCGAAAATATTGCATATCATGTTTGTCCCATGTATGTACTTTATCACGCTGGGTAATTGAATAACTTGAATATATACTGTCAATCTCTGACTCGACAGGTGATTTGCTTGATTGTAACTATGCCTGATATTTGACCTTTATTGCTTGACCTTGCTTGCGGCCATGTGTACTCTATCACATGTGCTGTACAATGTAAACGGAGTAAACTGAGTACCGTACGTGTACATTGAGTCTTGCTTGAACGTGTGCATGCTATCTATGGTTAGTCATGGATCTATGCCCCTTCTAGTTCAAGGTAAATCGTTACGTGTCGGCATAGGGCCAGGACATACTGGATATTACTACTAGGAGGTTGGTTATCTCGAGATATACCCTCAATGAATGAATGTTGGGGCGTTGGTTGTCGATGCGCACTTTCTAACTAATAACCTCGTGACAAATTGTGAGACCAGCTAGAAGTTGTTTCTGTAAGACTTAACTTTTCCTACATGGACATGACCAACTCTATCTACTCATTTGTGTCCACTGTCTGTTGTCTTGTTTCTAGTTTGAAGTAGCGAGTTATGACCGATATAGTTATGCTTCTCTTCGGACTGTTAATTCATCTATATCATGTAATCTGCTTTATTTGCCTTATATGGAAACTTGTAGCCCACTGAGCATACGCTCACCAAACGTATATTTTTATACATTCTCGGAATGAAAACATGTTGGTTGGTGTACCGTTTGTATGACAGGTAGGTTAATGTATCATAGAAGATTGAGATTTAGTTGTAAATTTGTATTATCGGTGCTTAGTTAAAAAAATGTAGAACATTGTATTCGAGAACGTTGGAACAAGATATGTAACACTCTTCCATATCAATTACCAAATTTTAACTTATGGCATGATAATGCCTTAAGTTTTTGCTCTTCTGTACTTGTTTGAAATTATTACTGAGACCTGACGAGAGTTGGGCAGGCATTCAATCATGACTTCCATGTTAGAATACAAAGGGTGCTAGATTGGGGTGTTACAAACGGATTTTGGTCATTCACCGTTAACTTAATGTATTCTCCCTTCAAATGGACCATAGTGTTGAATAAAACTAAAAATGGTGACTAAAATCGTTGAAGAAAATTTTGAGATGACTTACCTGAGCTATCCCCTAAAGTTTGGGGACCAATACTGAGTTTTACCCTAAAAATTTTTGCAAACACGAAAACAACAACCTTGAGTCTTGAGTTAATGTTTGCACCGAAAAATAAAATAAAATACTAATAACTAAACAAATAAATAAATAAAATTGAAATAAAGAGTTCTTTGGAGTCTGTGATTTCCAAAAAAGAAAAAAATTTAGAAGCAGCACTGCAAATTGGCTCGAGTTTTGAGTTGAGATCTCACTACTGCCAAGGCAAAGATTCTTTTGCAATTTAAAGAGACTTTGTTGAATTTTTTAAGATGTAATTATTGTATTATTACTTTATTATTAGTTGCATTATTATATCAATTTCGGTAAAGCTTAATCCCCGTTTCCTTCCAGGCAACTACTTTTGGGCAAGTCTGCTTAATGTCAATAATCTAATAGTAGTAGTAATAGGTGTACTGTTTCAAAGAAAAAATAAACATAAATAAATAATAGCACTAGTACAAAGCTAATTAATGGCAAAGTATTGTAATTTTAATTAAGGTTCTGTCTTCATGAAAGATAATGCTTAATTAGTCTTCTTGCTCTCAACTTGATTCTCTTCTGAAATTTTCATTTCCTCATCTCTCAACTCTCTGTTATCTTTTGATATTATTTCTTCTCTCAAGTCCCTCTCTACCACCAAGAATTCCTTGTTTTTGTTTTTCCGAAAAAACTTTCTTAATTAATTGGATCAAGAATCTGCGTTGACTTGTGCGAAGTTATTTAGATCTTGGGGCCGACCAAGTTTCCGTTGGAGATTGGAAGGCCGAAAAGGAGAAGATTAGCGATTTGGTCAATCACAATCACTTAAGAGTCTATCAACAAAGGTACGAATCTTTTGTTTTTTCTTTTTTTTTTTTTTTTAAAAAAAATTATGGTTCTTAGCTCAGGCGGTTCTACAGGATTACTGTTCGTAGGTTTGATGGAGCTTTAGCAATATTTACACGATTGGGAACCCAAAAAAAAAAAGAAGAAATGCATATCAATCTCTCTAAAACAATTAAAAGAGTATTACCTTCTCAAATAAGTGAGTTCGCAAAACAGTAGATACATATTGTCTGAAGTTGTTTTCTCACCAAATTCTTTTTGGCAGTTACAGAGATGTATTCCACAGAGTCTATTGTTCAAGATGCCTTAGATGAGCTCCACTCCATCAGCCAAAAATTATCTGATTTATTCCCAGATTGGGAACTTAATCGTCTGCGGCAGTTCTTGGAATGGGGGAGATGGTTTTATTTGTGGGGAAGAAAGTGGGGCGATGAACAAGATGTGCGCTGGGAAACTGCGGTGTGTACAGTGGAGGACACTCTTCACAGACATTCCCTGGAAATTCTGTTTCTTTGTCTCACGTTCAAGGAGAAATTGCTGAGGGTTGATGATTCTGATGAGAGATGGGATGATGATTCGGAGGGATGGGATGTTGTGCTTAAACATTTTCTTTGGAGAATTATTGGATCGGTGCGACCAGGAATTGAGGAATTGGTCCGAATGTTGGCGACAGATCTCACATTGCAAACAAGATCTTCTTCTCGAACAGATGTGAAGCAACTGCTGGACAGCGTCGATTTCATTCTTCACAGTTTGCAGAATCTTGAATCTCAGATTCCCTACACAAATGAAACAATAACGTTCATGAAGAACTTCATTCGCTTTGCTACGCTTCACGGACTTGAGGATAGGCAGATCATCGGAGATCTCTTGACTCACTTTGAACGGGTAGTTATTCAATCTGCAGTCCTACTTTTTGAAGGTTATCTCTCAGCACATTCTCGTAGTGAAATTCTGAGAAACATTCAGCCAGTTGAGTCGCGTGTTTGTGAGATTTATGTTGGTGTCTTGCAAGATGTTTCAAAGTTTTCAGGGTCCTCCTTCCATCCCACTAAAGAAACTCATGCTTTGGTGTTTAGAGACTTTGTGGATTCTCTCATTTTTCTGATTTTGAACCTTTTCTTCCGTGATTGCATTTTTGTGGACATGTTTCACCACGAAATGCATAAAGTGCATGAGGGACTCTCATTCTTGAGAACCACTCTATCAGAGCACCATGACAAGCTTGATGACCTCATTAGACCTTTGATTTGTGAGGCAGGCATCCTAATTTTTCATCTCTATCAAGAAAATGGAGAACAAAGAGGAAGGTTGATTGCAAAATTAGAGCTCCTTTTTTCCAATTTCGAGACAAAACTCCAAATTCTCAAGGCTGCAGAAGAAGATGCGCCAAGGTTTCCACCAACATCAGCATATCCCCAAACAAACTTGTTGGGTTTTATTGACTCTGTCTTGGAAAAAATAAAGTCATTCGTGATTCAAGTTTCTTCAGAAAAGGATAAGTTCAGAGCCCTCCACGATGATCTTACAGTTTTAAGATCTTTTGTAGTCCATGATAATGGGATGACGATCCAAGATCTCTCGAGTCGCATTGCAGCGGTAGCTTATGACACGGAGTTTGTACTTGATTCTTTGGTTGTTGCTGGTAAACCACTTCAGACAAGCCTTATCGTGCAGCTTGATGTTATCATAACAGAGATTGAGCTTATTAAGACTCAGGTCTCGGAGATTCCTTGGAGTATGGAGCCAACCATTGCAGTTCAAAAGATTAGTCAAGCTAACCTTAAGATGGCACCAGCAGTTAGTAAGATCCCAGATTCCAATGACAGAGTGGTGGGCTTGGATGACGAGGCAAAAATCATCATCGATAGACTCACTAGAGGGACAAAAAAGTTAGATATGGTTTCGATTGTGGGCATGGCCGGATTAGGTAAAACTAGTTTGGCCAAGAAAGTTTATCATCATTCCCACATCTCTCATCACTTCCAGGTTCGCTCTTGGGTCACCGTGTCTCAAGAATACAACACAAAAAGTTTGTTGATTGGGATTTTAAGCGGTCTGGACCAAGATTCAACTGAAGAGTATATAAATATGAGGGAAGATGATTTGGCTGAAAGACTCCGTAAACGGTTGAAGGGAATCAGGTATCTTATCATCTTGGATGATATTTGGGATACTCAAGTATGGAATAGTTTGACAATGTCATTCCCAGACGATGATAAGGGTAGCAGAATTCTCCTAACCAGTCGACAGGAGACTATTGGTTTGGAAATCAATCCACACTCTGAACCTCACCGTGTTCGTGCACTAAATGATGATGAGAGTTGGGAATTATTTCAGAAGAAGATGTGCTTTGACCAAATTTGTCCATCGGAAGAAGTAATTGCTCGTGCCAAGACAATAGCAAAATCCTGCAAGGGATTGCCGCTGATGATTTTAATTGTTGCAGGATTTCTCGCTAATACAGAGCCAAGCAAGTGGGAAGAAGTTGAAGAAATGCTAAAAACAGGTACTGCAATGGCTGCAGATCAGTGGATGGAGACTCTTGAGTTGAGTTATCGACATTTGCCAAACCATTTGAAACCATGCTTTCTTTATCTGGGAGCGTTTGAAGAGGACGAATCAATACCTGTTCACCAGATTTTACGGCTATGGATTGCAGAAGGATTCGTGCAGGAAACTGCAGGAAGAGAGTGCTTAGAGGATATTGCAGAGGGTTACATGATGGAGTTGGTACAGAGAAATCTAGTGATGGTTGCAGGAAGAGATCACCGAGGTCAGATGCAACAGTGTGTCCTTCATGACTTGCTACGCGATTTCGCCATAGCGAGAAGCAAAGAAGAACACTTTATGCATCGGCTACGTGGTCAGGAGCTTAATGGTTGTCTTGAGGCTAGCCAGCGGTACAGGTTAACTATTGATTTCAGTGGAGCGGAGAAATTCTCAGAATCGAGGTCCCTCTATCCTCGTCTACGCACAATGTTGTTTGTTACAGAACCCAAAGTCTATCGACTACCAACATCTCTATACAAGTTTTTCCAGTTCAAGCTTATAAGAGTTCTGGTCTTAAGCCGACTATTTGTGTTTGATACATTTCCATGTGTGATTCTACTACTTGTCCAGTTGAAATACTTGGCTTTCACATTTAATTTCGATTCAGAAATAATCATCCCATCGTCAATTCTCAATCTCTCAGATTTGGAGACTTTGATTGTTTATAATGGTAAGAGAGTTTTGTTGCCGGATACTTTGTGGGGTATGCAAAAATTAAGGCATTTGGATGGAGCTTTTGAGTGGATATTGCCATCAGAGATTCCCGTAGCCAATTTGGAGAATTTGCAGACTTTCTCAAAAGTAACATTCACCTGCAGCCAAACGATGGTGGGAGTAGTGAAGAAGTTACCAAATCTCCGGACACTAGGCTGTCGTCTCGATCTGGGTGGAGGAGAGTGCACTGTGGATTTCAGCACTTTCAATCAACTCGAATCACTCTACATCAGTACTTCTCGTAGGCCGAAGTTTTTTCAATTTCGATTTCCCCAGAATCTAAAGGATCTACATCTGTATAAAACTTGCCTTCCATGGAGTGAAGTTTCAGCTATTGGAAGGCTACCAAATCTTGAAGCTCTCCGATTGGATGGGAATGCATACGCGGGGGAAAATTGGGACATTGAAGAAGAAGGCACATTCCCCAAACTCAGAGTGTTGGAATTATGGAGCATGACCAGTTTGGAGAGATGGACAACGGCTTCGGATGACGACTTCCCATCTATTGAGACATTGATACTCAAACGCTGCTTAATGTTAAAGGAAATCCCTTCTTGTATAGCCCAAAGTTCAACCCTTCAGATGATTGAGGTCAACCATTGTCCACGTGTCTTTGATTCGGTAAAGGAAATTCATGAAATGCAGATGGATTATGGAAATGAAGATCTACGGATATATCTGGACGACCAACAACTAACAAAAGAGTAAGCCCCACACTAAATATTTTTTTACAATTTTTTTTTTTATTCAACTGAAGAACGGTGTTTCTTTCCCAATGAAATTATCGTTTGCTAAACTAACCTTCCTTTTTCTTTTCTTCTTGTCTTCCTCAATTAGTTTCCATTTTCCAAAAAAATAAAATAACAATTGTATGGCGACAGTGGCTAAACATATGATTGTAGGAGGCAGTATTGATATTGTTGTTAATTCAAAGTGATTTTTTTTCTTTTTCTGTTTTCACATCATTATTGTTTATCATAGTTCATAGAGTAATCAATGCAATTTTTTTCCGGTGCCGATTTGATACTCTTAATAGGGTAGCGAATATGTTCGCTGCTACTTTTTCTTGTTCTAGCTGTTTTCTTTTTCTGTTTTCTTTTCTTTCTTTTTTTCTTCCTTTTCATGTTTTGATGTGCTTTTTCTGGTTGGACTGTGAATGAAAAGCAGTAGTTTTAATGTTTAAAGTTGAAATCTTTTTACACGGGTTGTTTAATACTGATTGATTGTGTCAGTGAAATTATCTTAAACAATTAATTCTTATTATGGAAGGGAGGTTCAAAATTTCGGAAGTTAATTTAGAACTTAAAAGCTTGACATATCTTTCTTTTTCTTTTGGTTCAGGAACTATGAGGTAATTAAAAGCAAATACACCTAAAGAAATCTTCAATTGAGTCGGGTAACTCTCTTTTCATCAAGAAGAAAATTTCTCTAAATATAAATATAAATTGTTATTTACTATTGATACTCATGGCTGCTTTAAAAACACGAGTTTTTTAACTTGTGGTTAACAATTAATACATAGGATATCGTATCATGTACTTGTTCTATACCGTCATATTACAAGTAGTAGTATATCTATCTCCGAGAGACTAGTTTTGCATGATTGTGTACAATTAATTTAGCAAATAAGACTCTATATAGTTTTGGATGAGAAAGAGTTTATAATCATTTGAGAATATTAATTTATATACTCTTTCCGTTCAGAATTGATTATCCAGTTTAAATTTTTATTTTTAATTCAAATTATATAAAAAATAAAAATCAAAATAGGATAACCATTTTGGGACAGATGAATTATTACAAAAGGGGGCACATTAACCCGCAAAAATCCTATAAGACTTTTGATTTCCTGACCTACGTTTCAATGAGTATGTTGTTTTTGCGGAATCGCTGTAACCTTATCAGGTTCATTTATTAATTTTCAGGGTTCTCCGGTGGCGACTGACGCTTGAAACACTGATTCTGCTGCAATAGCTTCCCAAAAGTGTGTGATTATAAGGTAGTTGCTACAGCTAAACCTTCCTCACAACAAGATAAACTAGGAAAATTTTCAGTCTTCCCAAATACTACAAAGCTTTCGATGCTCTAACTGTCACATCTATATCAACACTACATTGATGGAACCTATTCACTAGGAGTTGCTTGTGAATGTACCTGTTGTTTATTTAATTTGCAGTGCTAATCTCATGCATTGTCCAATCCTTAATACTTTCCACTCAACGATGCATAATTCCATCAAAGTTGATGCGGTAGTAACTTGATTCTTGGGAATCGACGCAATGTAAGAGATATGATAGAGACAGAAAAATGTAGTGGTAGTATCGGTGGAGACTTAAGAAATTAGATTACAAGAATTAGCAAAAAACCAAAAAAAAAAAAAAAAAAAACAAGAACAAAATATTTCATAGTCTAAACTTTGAACATCATTATTATGACATACAACCAATTATATATTCATCATTGATAGTTCCATTCATTTATTTTGTGAAAAGGTTTTCCGTCAAATCAAGTCTTCAAATAAAAACCATCCGATTTCACTAGCCAAAAGACAATATGACCTGGGGCACAATAGCTTATTCTGCGATCGAAAACAGCCATATATCTAACCTTTCCAGCCCACCAAAATGTACAATAATATTTTGGATTTTTAAAAAATGCCCTAATTAAAAAATGCCCAAAAGAATCAAGTATATGACAGCCAAAATCATCACCATTTTCCTTGTAACAATGGTATTTTAGAGTGTTGCCATCTCTAGGTAACTCGCTCTTAATGGTAACTTCCCAGTGATATCATAGATTAGGTTTTGTTGTACATAAAAAACATAGGATGAGTAGACGAAGAAGTGAAAGAAATGAATTTTCAAAAGTATGACTTATGTTGTTATTGTTTTTTCTTAGGGATGATCGAGTTATGTAATCTGGTGTGCTTCATTCAAAAAAAAAAAAAAAAAGAGTTATGTACTTTGGTGATTGAAGATATAGATTACACACAATCATTAGATTCAGTGAATCCGTCGAAGGAAATTGTTTGGTGTGTTTTATAGATATAATTGCAGAAGCGGTACTTGAAATCAAATAATATTTCCATTGGTTTTTTTTTTTCCTTTCGTGGACAGATAGAGTAAGAGAATAGTTTTCAAAGTTTTCTACCATCAAGTTATAGGTTGTCAAATGTTAACAATTTAACAAATCAATTCATGAAGTGTAGAAAAAAATTACTATTTTAGTACACTATCGATTTTGATGAAGGTTAAAAATTGGAGAAATCATTTTTGATGTTAAAAATATATATAAATATTACGTAGTAATATATAATATCAAACATGTTTATTATAACTCTTATAAAAAAGACAAAAATTTCATTATTCTGATTCTAAACTTTTAATAGATTTCAGATTTTTTTTTGGTACAATAAAAGTAGGCTGGGTTTTAAATTTTTATATTTAGATTTGATCTCCATATAAGTCAGATTGCGTATAGATAGAACAGGGAGATTAAAAATCTAGAAAATTAAATAAATAAATATTTAAATTTTAATATTTAGATTTCAGATTTTCGTTTTGTGTATTGTGTGTGAGCAAATTTTTTAAGTTAAATAAAATTGAGGTTGTAAAAGTCTCAATAGGCTTTGATTGTTTTTCACATTCTTTTTGCGAAAAAAGAGTTCATTTTTTTTTGTCAACAAACAAGATTATTTTTTTAGACGAAAAGGAATGATATTTTCAGAATGGTCCTCCTTTTTTAATGCAGAAAAAGAGAGCTCCATTTGACAATTTATTATTATCCATCCATTATACCATTTCCAAAAAAAAAAAAAAAAATTCCATCCATTATTTTTCTCCCACTCCAGCCCCAAAAAAGTCAACGTTCTAATGTAATGGTCTTCTCCCCAATTTTTGGTCAATATTTTCTATAACAATCAGGCCATTTCTTAATGCAGATGAGAAACTTAAAGAAAACATCCGAAAGCAATGACTTATTGACCAAATTCTGATGGCGTAAAAAGCTAAGAAGTCAACTCTACTTTGTACGAAGGAGATGGATTTTTGGTCCCAAAACGAACAAAAGGCAATAACCTAATTAAAAAATTGATAGTTCATTGAAGTGCCAACAGCACTGAAATTCGAATGTCTTTTTGACGTTGCCTTTACCATCTCAGAACCCCTTGATTCGTGTTTTGGTAATATTGGGTAAATGACACATTGTGGATTATGTTAGTTCATCTGTCATTAGAGCAAATTACCAATCAATAAACTACAAACTCTGAAACATTCTCCCCGGCACAACACTATTATGTATAAGGGACTCGAAATCTCTAACAATACTATTTACATATTTAATACTTATTTCTTCCGTCACAAAATTATTGTCCAATTTAATATGTCAATTTCAGTAAAATGAAAATTCAAAGTAGATAATAATTTCGGGACACAGAAAGTATCTCGCTACATTTATATATATATATATATATGTATATATAAACAATAAACAAAAACACTTCCTCCGATCCTTAATATAATGCATTTTGATTTGTCCTAAATTTCAACTGGTACGCATTTTTATTGACTAAAAACTCTTTAAAATATATTTTCATTTTTGTTGTGTTTTCTTGAATGTTATGAAATATTTTTAAGATTTTTTTTATAGATAAAAAAATGCGTACTAAGTGAAACCTATAAAAAAATTAAAACGTCTTATAGTAAGTACTCAAGGGAGTAAAAAAAGGTTAAAATCATACTTCGGGGTTGTGCCTTTGACTTTTCACTGTGATGGGAATCCGAGTTCGATGAATGGCTGCATAACCATTATTCAAGTACATCCTCAATGAGATGCTAAGATAAAAAGGGCTAGTTGCTAATTTAGCTTAAATTTTCTCCTAGTGAAAAACTGAACTCTAATTCCAAATAAAGTAACAACCTTGACATAGATAAACACGGTTTCAAAGCTACCTCTTCTCTTTGATTTCATCTTTTGTCGCATTTGGACATTACATTACAAATCGATACTGGGACTTCCACATATACGTTTTGTCCCAAAAGAAATAGAAAGATAAACTAGTGAATTTGTTGTTGCATTCTTTGCTTGGGTGTTACAACTTCCATTTCCCATTAGGCCAGCAGGTTTAAAGAAAGATTAAGAGATTGAAACTAATGGGAAAACCCAACAAGTTATCCTAACCCAAATGAAGAAGAGAGAAAACTATCTGGTTAACTGAAGAAACATAAACCAATATTTAAGAATTTGCAAAACAGAGGGAATATGAAGTCCAGAAAGGATGATAATTTGTGCCTTTTCTGTGAAATAAAAATGTTCTGCAGTATGAGAAACATGTACAATCTTTGAGTGAGGTATATGAAATCAGTATTTTCTTTTACCTCTCTGTAATCTGTATCTATGAACACTAAAAAGAGTTGAGAGAAAAAAAAAGGGGCATAATTGCCTCCATTCAGACGCTTGAATGAATTTGCAGCAGAAAAATACCCCTGTTCTTCCATCTGGGATGTATATAAACTAACTAAGGAAGTGTTTCCAATGTTTTCCATTTGGAAATGACATTAGCATCTTTACCTTCAAACTCGATCTGATATATCTGTTCTGCTTCAAACTCTATAGAAGAAGTTGTTGATTTGCAGCTTTTGTAGAAGATGCAACCGATAACTGTATCTAAGACGAGGAGAATTGCGTATAAGTAGGCTATGAATATCCCTTCAAAAACAATGGAAGAAAAGGGAGATTCTGACAGATGAAGTGCTCTTACAATTCGGTATTGAAATAAGGCCTCAATTGCAGCCAGTGCAAGGTTAACAGGCAGAGCCAAGGATAATGCTGTTGCTGTTCTTCCTCGAATTAGGACGCAAGCCTTGAGAATCGCAATGTATCCGCTGGAATTTTCCATCCCTGAGACTATAAATGCAAGATTGCAAATGATGAGGGAATTGGCAAGAACTATGGAGTACAGAACAGCTCCTGTGGCTGAAAACACCAGCAGTGTTTTCAGGTTCACAAGGCCTAATCCATCGGCGCAGTTAAACGTGAAGAACAGGATGCAGAAGCAGGTTGCATTTGCCGAGATCATTAGTATCATGTTGCAAAGTTGAGTGTACAAAAGGGGACCAAAAAGGGAATTGAAAAAGGCGAAAGGGGTTTGCGAAACGGCCTTATGGTTAGACAAAGCATGGATTACAAATGCCTTGGTGAAAAGGAAGAAGGTGAAGATGAAAGGGAAAATTAGATAAGATGTTGCAATAGTCTGAGACAGCTTGATGTTAAGAATCGCGAAGAAATCCGATGACCTTGGAAAGCCGGTAGCATCGAAGAGCGATTGTAGCCGGTTGTGAATCCCCTGAAGCAGAGCAGATGATGGAATTGCAGATTCTGACAATAGAACTAATGCTGCATAAGGTAAGGCAAGGATTGCTACAGTTGTAGTGTAAGATTGATACTTTTGCAGAAAAGTGTAAACTGATCTTCTGAGAATTCTGACTGTTTTCCCCATTGCCCATTGGGATTCTTGAATGTTCTTCCATGGATGAATCGAAGTGTAAAAATCTCAGTCTTAAAACTGACATGAAAGAAATCAAGAAACACAAAAAAAAGGGTACCATATCAAGAGAAGTTTGGAGGAGTTTGGAGAATTTAGTATTCTTGGAAGAATGGATTGGCCAACAACCTAAGGCTAACAAATCCCGAAGGGATGGAGTTGTTGTTGTTTGAAGTTAATTTGTGATCACCTAGGAGGGATTTGTTGTTTGAACTCAATGTGAGAAACTCCTCCTCTTGTAAAAATCTCCAACCTTTCTCCTTACAAATGAATTAGTTGGCTGACTTATTAGGAGAGGTTGGAAAGACTATCTATTTCATGATGATTAAAATAACATCATAACATGATGTATGAGTATGACCCTCTCCTCTTTCTTCTTTTGCTTGGTACTGAAAACTGCCCAAAGTTCTGGTGACTTAAAGAGCACTCTAGGTTGCTCACCTTTTGATATACATTATATAATATTGCCATGCATTTTTTACATGGGATAAACTATTGGACTAAGATCCAATTAAAAGCAAAGTGGCTAGCTAATCATGAATATTGATTCTCTCCTTCCTAACTCATAATAAAAGCCAAAATTTTGAGTATATATATTGTATATACTCCCAGTCTTAAAATAAGTGTCATATTGATAATTTTATTTTCGTTTCAGTACCACTGCTTTTTTCTTCTTTTTTTTTTTTTTTAATTATTTTGAGATGGAAAGGATTATTATCACTTCTTTTGTCCTATAAAAATAATTTAAATTAAATATTGAGATTTGTATAATTTTTAATATAAATTCAAAACTTAATATGAACTATTTTTAAGGGATAGTAGAGTATTATTTTGATCAAGTAACGTGTCCATGCCTCGATTAAAAAAAGAATGCCTATATTACATAGTCTTGCTCTACATACTTACATAGTTATGTTTTGAAAATCAAATCGGACCGGACGGTCGAACCGGTTCAATTGGGAATCGGAGGCCTCCTCAGTTCGGTTTCAATTAATAACCGGTAAACTTAAAAACTCGTCAAACTCAATCAAACCAAGACAAACCCGTGGTTTGACTATGAACTGGTACCGGTTGGACCTTTTTTTAAAAAAACTTTAGAAATAAATTATTTTTTAAATATTTTTTATAGCCGGTTTTGACCGATTTTTAAGACCGATTCAAACTAGTTAAACCAGTGAACCAATGAACCAATTAAGTTATCGGTTAACCTTCCGGTCCAGTTTTCAAAACATAGCTACATAGGGAGTTATTCGTTGCAAGTTCTTTTGCCCTATATACTTTCAATTGAGCAAGATTTTTTTTTTTTCATATTTGCAAGGTGTCTACCGTTGGCAACAGTGACCAGTGACGGAGATAGGGGGCACCAACAGGGGCGGTCGCCTCTCTTTCCCAATTTTTTTATTGAAGGAGGATATAATTTTTTAGCATAAAATTTTAAAAAATTATCATTTTGCCCCTGCTATATAAATAATTTATCATTTCGTCCCTGCTATTTATGATTCCTGGCTCCACTACTGACAGTGACTAATCCCTCTCGCTGAATTGTAGGCACCTCGATGGGTGGACCAACTGGTCAAAGTATTTAAGGTTACTCTATGTCCATGGCAATGTTCGAACCCTCGACCTATGGTTAAGGGTGGAGGAGTCCTTTCCACTGCGCTACAACCACTTTAGTTTCAATTGAGCAAGATGATAATAAATTTTTATATTTCTGTATCTGCCCTCCTTAGACTTGGTTAGATCTCGAGAACCTATGCAGAATGCAGATACGAGTTGACTAAAACCGTAGTGGGATGGAAATGGAAGCAAATTTTTAATCCCACCATTTTGTTTTTTTTTTTTAAAAAAAATAATTCTGCCCAATTTTTTTCACTATAACTATTTTGCGACATACAAAATGTTCTTCATTTTTTTCTTCTTCTTTTTTTTGGCAAATAAAAAGAGGGAAATGGGCTTTGACAATGACTTTTCTTTAATCACGCACGCCCCACGCCGCTCTTAATAGAATTTGATTATTGAACATTTGATTACTTTTACATTTATGTCCCGGTTACACAATGATCATTCTTTAGGTAGAGGTTATAAATATATATGAAGACGAAAGCTTGTGCAATTTTTTTTGAACTTATTGAGAAGAATCCTGCAAGTAAATAAAATAAAATAAATTATTCATAATTAAACGGGTCAATATCACACAAATGGTTTACCTCAAATTTCAAATGTAAGATTGCATTTACTTCTCTGTTCGTAATCATTAACTTCTTTGGTACGTTGACACATTAATTTTTCCTTAATCTACACTTTGTATAGTGATGAACGTTAAGCCACAAAATAGTATTAATGATAATAATAATAATAATAATAATAATAACAATAACAATAATAATAATAATAGTAATAATAATAATAACTTGTAAATTGTGAACAAAGACCTATTCCCTTAATTCGCAACTGTTTTATTTCAAAATTTTTATATATATAAGTGTATAGTACAACATCAAATGAACTTTATCTACAATTGATGAATTTCTAGATAGATATTAACGTTCAAAATCCAATTATCAGTAACATTTGCTCTCTTTTCTTTCAGTAATATTTGTCATTTTATTTGGTTTCTAGATTTCAAATGCTCCCACGAACGAAACAACCACATATACTTCCTGCCTCCAGCAAATAACAACTATCCGTCCGTTTTAATTGCCCCAATTTGGTACTACCATTATTGTCCTTTATTTACAGAATTTAAATGCTCGAATTTAGTCTCACCAACAAACCATCCTACATTACTACCTCATCATAATGAAGGTTCTTTCAACCATTTGTTGCTATTGTACCCTTTACGATTCCTAATTGTTTGCTGGACTTATTCATCGGTTTTTATGACTAGGTAGATCGATTCGGTCGACCTTCATGAATACTAAACTGGAAAGCTAGCTAGGGTACTCTCTAATCTTTTCTATATATATATATATATATATATATATATATATATATATATATATAGGGGATGATGAATCATAGGGAATCGCAAGTGATGAACTACTTCATTAGCTTGGCTCCATGTTTTTCTAGAATGAGATCTTGTGAATGTCAGAATGCGGGGGAAAAAAAACCCAAAAAAAAAAGAAAAAAAAAAGAAGAAGTAAGCGTTCTGAATGAAGCACAAGCTTTCTACAATTCCTTGCTAAATCAAAGGTAATAGAATTATTTCATTTTTCCTTGTCTTTTGTCGGTCATTTAATGTTTTAATCATTATATAATATCATTTGCATTTGTCTGTAAAATATTTTTTGGATGTCTAAATCCAATTGATTTAGATGTCACGTTCTACAATTCTTAAAAACAATAACTTCTTCACTTAGATTTGGCTTCTATAGAATTTCAGGGCACTTTACCTTCTTGTTTCATATATATATATATATATATATATATATATATATGTGTGTGTGTGTATAGATATATATTTCTTAAATCAGATGTATATCTATAATTAATATATTTGAACAGAAACATCTAGTGTTGCATCTTGACTGTTGGTTGAACCACTTGCATATTGCATGCACTGCAGATCGGTAAAGACTTGGGCGGTCTAGGGTTTGGGTACCCGTTCAATTGACCGCGGATTGTTCCGGTGGAACTTTATCTAAATGAAGCTTCCGATGCATGCTTCATTGGCCTCAATCATCAGAACAGCGCAACATGAGTTGGACTCAATCTACAGCCCCTGGCCATTCTACAAGTGGGGAAGAGACATTGTTGGTCCTTTTGACAAGGATCTGGAGGGGCCTGGTTGTTGATAGTTGCGATGGACTACTTTACCAAGTAGTATCCCAAGAATACTATGTCCGTTCTAAGAAAAAAAATCACTTAATACTAGAAATTAAAATCTCAAAAATCGACTTCTGACATGTAAATCATCTAAAATTCGTTACACAAATAATAAATATACATTACATTCTATGCAGTTTTCCTATTTTTTCAATATGTAAGATTAATAATCCAATTTACAAATTTTAATTTTTCAAATCGGACTTCTTATTTTTTCGGGACAGGATGAGCCTCAAGTTTGAAAAATTGTAAGTGGAAGACAACATGGCAAAGCACGTTTTAGTCCAACAAAGATAATACACTATAAATATGAGTTTAATTTTTATACAAAATGAGTAATTTGCACCTCCCCGGTTTTTTACTTTCTTAAAAGATATTATCGTCCAAAACCACTTTGCGGAGACTAATCTAGTTTGAAGCAAATTGATTCTGTCAATTGTTGTACGTATACTCATAACCAGGAATTTCTTAGAACCATGATCGTGCTAAGCTGATTCTGCACTTTTTAGTCATATAGTCCTAGTGTATATTGATGCACATTTCTCATTTATCTTTGGTAGGATTGAAACCAAGTTCCCAAAATTCTGACAGGGAATAGATAGTACATAAAGTAAAATACTGAAATAACATCCAATACATTGCTTCTGATGCAGCTTGAATTTTTGCTACTAACAATCCAACAACACCCCTTTAAAGCAACCCATTTTATAAGTATCAAGTTTGTGCTTTATCATCTCAATACTTTCTTCTTTCTACTTTCTTCTTTCAGCAGTACAAATCCATTTTTGCTTGTTTGAATCTATATCCTCAAGCTTTATTCTTGTTGCTTCTTTTATTGAGCTTTGAACTAATATTGATCTGTAGTTAATTAAGTAATTATTCTAGCTCTATATATTGAAGCTAGGAAATAAAGAAACATCAGTAGTATGACTAACTGGTCAAACTTCAAGGAAGCTTAGAAGATTTTTGTTTTTAGGAAGAATGCAGAGGAAAAAAAAAATCAAAGATGCTTTCATCACATAACTTAAGCTCTCTTGAGTTTCTTGCTATATTGCAGGATGTAACTAAGAACAACATAATCATTCCCACATGCGTTAATTGATTGCCATAGACTTATCACAACGTCGTCTGTTTGTTGTTAATCATAAAATCTTAGTCAAACTATCATTTTTCATTTTGCGGATATAAATCGTATTAAAATTGGCAGATACCAAGAGAATTCTACTAGTGTTTTGTTCTACCGGAAGTTTTAATGTTTCTTATCTGATCTTAACATGCATGAATACAATGTCTCTATTTCTTTTGTATATCCCTTTTTGGATTGGCTAACACTTACCAACTCATTTTGACGCTGTCAACTAAATTCTTAGCTTGCATTCCTATTTCTATATCAATATTTGAAACTCATCCCGGTGATCTTCTCCTTTAAGATGGGCGTTGGCAAAAGTAAAGATCCGAGAAAACCAAGTCAACATGAGGCTGCAGAGATAAAGGTCAAATTTACAGACAAGATCCCCTTACTGGCAGAGTGGCAAAGAAGTCCATAAAAAACATCTTATGATTGTTCAATTCTGTTGAGAAAGCTATCATCAAACTGAGTATTGAAACAGTTATGTGTTATGGTGAAATTTACCTTTGCCCCCATTTATGCACAAGTTTTGTCAATTTACAATAGTACTAGTCATGTATGTATCCACTAGAGAAGTAATTCATAGATTTAATGGAAGAATTTTTTGGAGAGCAATGTGTGGTTGCCGATGTGTTTGATTAAGAATGATGGGAAAAGTTATCCATTTGAGATCATATGGTGAACTTGGGACAAATAAATAAAATCTTTTCTATCGTTTTAATATAAAGGTAATTTATTAATTGCACACTTCAAACTAAATTCAGCTTCTTATGAGGATTGATATTTGTGGAATGGAGAAGAAGGGCACATGTTGACCATTCATCACCCAAAGAGGTAAATATTGCTATTTGGAAATTGACATCAAGCTCACTTTCAATTTCTTATGGAAGTATTTCCTCTTTGATCGATACTTAATTAATTCTTTTTGTTAAATGCTTAATTAATTTGTATTGCTTTTATATACAACAGATGAATAGAAAACAAAATTTGCATTGGTAGATTTGGCAACGTATTGTTATGGACGAATATGGTAATTAAGCTATAGATACTTCTAGACGATTTTTTTTTGAGCAATGTTTCTTAATGTCCTTGTTCCTAATGTAAAAACATAATGTTCCAATAAATATTGATCTAGTAGAAGTAGGCATGTCCGCGGTTTCAGTTTGGACCGAAACCTAACCAACGGTTATGGTTTCATAACCCTAACCATAATTGACAGTTTCAAGAATCATAACCGAACCACATGATGAAGGTTTGGTTATGGTTTTAGTTTTTCAGAAACCGGGAACCAACGGTTCGTACTAAACTATTGTTTAATACTAATTTTATAAAAAAAAATTAAAAAATTGTAAATACATGTATGTGTTTGACATATCTTGTGTCTAATTCTGTAAACAATGATTAATTATTATTTTCAATGAAAAGAATAAGTTGATCCAAAGATAAGAAATAGTGTCATTGGTAATTGATACTACATTATAGGTTAACAAGAATTTTCTAAAAGATTTTTTATACATTTGTAATTTAATTTAATTCTCTACGTTCTATAGGATATTTCATTTAAAAATGTGTCTTAATAATTTAATATTATAAAATTCTTCATAAAATTGCATGAGAACCGACACCAAATAAAATTTAAATGGAAATCTAAACTTTTGGTTTCAAAACTCAATATAAAACTCACATAAAAAACCGTCACATGTTAGAACCAAAACCGAATCGTAACCAAACCGAAACTAGCGATTCCAAAACCAGAACCGAAACCGCAGTCTCAAGGTTCGGTTTCGGTTCCCATCATCGTGGCTTTAGAACCGCCGGTTTTAGAACCGAAACCGCCAGTTCTAAAACGGTGGACATGCCTAAGTGGAAGTCCATGTATGCATCTTTTCCTAAGTTAAAGTTTAATTTCCTAGACAATCATTTTCATTAAAATGTATATATCTTATCTCCATCAGTTATATTTTCAATATTGGTTTCATCTTGATTTACCATTTTGCATTAGGTATAGTAATGAATGTTTATAGGCTACAAAAAATATTAAAATTTAATTTTTTTAAAAACTGACTACGTCTAAATATTCGATAACTGTTTTTATTTGAAAATTAATAAGTAAACATCCAATGAACTTTATCGACAATTGATCCATTTGTAGTTAGATACAGAATAGAGGAAACCATTCAATCAAAACTTGAAATTATAAACACGTAGTAAATGCTAATTTACTCCAATATCACAGTAACCGTATATTTTCATTTTGTTTTCAGAATTTCAAATGCTCCCAAGAACACAACAATCTCATTTACTATACCAGCAACAACCCATTATCATTATCCGTTTTAATTGCTCCATTTTAGTACTACTACCTACTATATATTGTCCTTTGTTTTCAGAATTTAAATCCTCGCATTTAGTTACAACTACAAACCATCATATAATACCCTATTATAATAAAAGTTCATCCAAACATTTCTTGCTCATCAATTATATTTTTAGAGCTATTGATGGAGGCGTAGAATTAAAGTAAATTAGGGTTAATTAGTTAGATATATTAGTAATTTTGTTATTTGTAATTAGGCTTGAATTTGTGTCTTCTCTATTTAAGGCCTTTGGCTGCTTCTTTGTACGTTGATTGTTGATTTTTATAAAAAACTTGAGAGTTCATCTCAGAAAATCCCAAGGTATGTTAAACTTTAGTCCATATTTCTGGGTATTCTCATAATCCACGGATTTAGGAGGATTGTATTTTCAGGTATTCGCAGAATTAATGGATGTACGACAGTTACTTGTTAGGGTTCAAGATCGAGGCATCCGCTGTCTACATCAATTGGCAATGGAGACGAGTTCGTTCGTGGTGGTTCAGTTGGTAACCTTCGGATATCTTCGCATCTTTTGTTAGTGTCTTTTTTATATTTGAGTGATCTGGTTATTTTTCACCGTATTGGCGTATATCGTTGTTGGGATTTACCTTATAGGTTTTGATTTGTGGATCAGCTGGCAAAAATTGGTGGGAATTTGGAAATTATATTACTTACGATTGGGTCTACTTATGTTAGTTTGTGTCTGTCTATTGGGTTTTATTTTGCTCAAGCATTGGTGCATTTAGCCGACCGAAGATTTGGGTAGTTAGAAATAATAGAGATCTCTCTTCATTGATTGAATATACACATACAAGGCATATACATATACATAAGATAAACAATAATCCACAATTACTATCTTTAATACATATTTACTACAATACGCCTCCTCAAACTGATGGCGAAGAAGCAACAAGCCGAAATTTCTCTCGAAAATGAAAAAATAAATCCTTGGATAAAAACTTGGTAAGAATATCAGCAACCTGATCAACAACAAACAAGGAGTGAATCGAAACAAACTTCTGACGAACATGATCACGGACAAAGTGAAAATCCACCTCAACAATGTGACAAATTTTCCTCTCAGCAGTACCATTTTGCTCATGAGTATGAGGACAAGCAATACGATGGACAATACCAACATCTTTGAAAAACGAATTCAAGAGACGGAATTTACCACCCCAATTAGAGTTGACACTTTTAATGGTGGTGCCAAACTGATTTTCAACTAAATTTTTAAAATGCTTGAAGATATGAGGAACATCAATTTTATTTTTGATAGGATAGAGCCATGTAAATAATGAGAAATCATCAACAAAAAGCACAAAATAGCGATAGCCATCAAAAGACAAGAGAGGGGCAGGTCCCCAAACATCAGTATGAATTAAATCAAGAGGTTTAGCACAACGATGAAATGTAGAAGACCGACTGACTCGATGCAACTTCCCTAAGCAACACGCCTCACTTTAGCAATGGACGTGGACAAAGAAGAATGGGGAAGCTAAAACTGCCTAACTAAGGTACGAAGAATACATTATTAAGGTGTTCTAAACGAGCATCCCATTGACCTAGAGAAATAAGATAAGTGGCTGGAGATAAGGAACCACGACCAGGAAGGTCCAAGCGGTAGAGACCAATGTCAACCCAACCTCGGAGGAACAGTTCCTTGGTTGAGAGATCCTTCACACAACAGGAATAACAATAGAATTGAAACAAAACAGTGTGGCAAACTTTTGAACAGATTAGAGTGGTTTAGTAAGAGCAGGAGCATGCAAGACACTATTTGAATATAAAGGACGGGAAATGGTTGGCGAAACAGATTGACCAACATACTTAATAGGTAAAGCAGCACCATTACCAACAAGAAGATGATCCATACCATGGTAGTCATTAGAGATGCTCAGCGGTGACAAGTTCGGAGTCGTATGAGCGGTATCACCAGTATCCGGATGCCGAGGAGTAGAAGGAGAGGCAGCCTGAACCATGTGAGATGGAGAAGCCATAGTGAAATCCGGATAAGGAGGAGGCAACAACCTTGGTGCGTTCTGGGATGGAGACACAAATTGAGTGTAAGCTGCGGATGGCTGAGGTGGCCGAGAGACAATACTAGAGTCAAACCAGTGGCGACAAGTAGCAGCAGTGTGATTCAAAATGCCACAAAGTTGACAAGTTTCACTGCGAGACAGAAAAGAATAGTCACGACGACCACCACCACGAGCACCGAAAGGAGAGCGGCGACCACCACAAGAGGCCGGTGGCTGCACGCCGGGTGGCGAATATTGCACAAGCAAGGCCGTCGGTGAAGAAACTGGTTGCTGGGCATGAAGGAGAACTTCATAAGACACCTATTGACCCAACAAATCTTGAAAAGAGGGATGCGCTTCTTGCTATTGCAAGGCACCAATAATGCCATTAAATTCACTCCCAAGTTTGCGAAAAATAATGGCGTTGAATTCAGCCACCGAAATTTGATGACCAGTAAGATTGAGGGAATCGACAGTTCCCTTGGCTTTATGAAGAAGAGAAGACATGGATTGATCTCCTTTCTGAAGGGTATGGAATTCAAGCATCAATGGAGTCTGATGGGTGTAGGAAAGAGTCCCGTATCCCTTTTGGATTGCAGACCACGCAGCTGCTGAAGTCGTGGCTCCCTGAATCGCGGGGAAGATTTCGTCGGTGACAAAGAAGAGGATCCAGGAGAAGACCATCTGGTCCTTCTGATGCCACACATCGAAGGCATGGTTTGGTTGAGACGGTGCTTCACTGGCAGGAGGGAGGAAATGCGGCGAGGCTGGTTCCAAACCGTCGACAATGCCGAAAAGCTTGAACATATTAAGCAGCGGAGTAATCTGCAATCTCGACACTGGATAATTGGCCCTTGATTGAAGCTTGACCGTGAAAGAGTGGTTCATGGGTTGAAGACTCAGCTGGAGATTGAGTGATGGCGCGGCAGTGGAGTTGTTCGCCGACTGAGAATTAGGCGGCACGGTTGAAGATACTTCAGACATGATGAACAGAGGGGGAAGAGAATAGACACAGCAGCAAAGGAAGAAAGATAGACAAGCCCGAGAGGAAGCAGAAAAAACGAAGCTCCGAGCAGGTCAAAGTTGGAGTTGCAACAGCAGGGAGGGAGGAGGGTTGGAGAAGATGATAGAAAACCGAGACTCCAAGAAGTTGGGAGGCGGCCGCCAGCAGAAAATAAAAAAAGAGAGGTATCCTAGCTCTGTACCAAGTTAGAAATAATGGAAATCTCTCTTCATTAATTGAATCATACAAGGCATATATATATATATATATACATAAGGTAAACCCTAATTCACAATTACTATCATTAATACATATTTACTATAATACGGACAATATTAATCAAGTTATATTATCAATTCAAGTATTATACTGTTTGCATTTGGACGGCTGCTGGAGTATATTATCTTGCTCAATTGATCTAATAACATTTTTTGTAACACTGTTCGTGATCGGTTAGTGGTGTGCGCGCACTTGTTTCTGCCACATTGTGCGGTCCATAATAGGTTTTCGTATTGGACACGATTTTGCTTCCTATTTGGATTTTTAAAGTTTTTATTTATTAAATATTTTTTTTTATTTAATTGGGATGCCCCCCAAATGCAAATTGTCTACAAAACTTTCATTTAGTCAGTCTTAGTAGCTCTTTAAACTCTATTGGCGAGGGATTATCAATTGTCTATCAATCCTATTCAGCAACATAGCCGGCCAAGAAAACCAATACAGACAAAGTCAAAGCCGCACCATTGTCAACAAGATTATGTCATTAAGCAACAACATTGTCCCAAAATTTTGGCTAAAGAAGATAGGCGGCGAAGCAGACCGTGCACAAGAATGCGTCACAACGACTCCCCAATCACTGCCACAAGAAGCAACGGCAACAACAATAGCATCTGGTGAGAGATGGAATCGAGACTTTTCGGTTAAGATGGGAAAGACTACTTGATGAGCGTTTCTTGACTTAGAATGATAATAAATGTGAGTCTGCTTTTGGTCACGATATTTTTGCTCTTGAATATGATCATGACCAATGAGAGCGGGATATCAATTGGACAAAACCACCAAAGTTTGATATATACATCCCAATGGCGAAGGTTGGAGAAAGTTGTCCGAGGTTGATTTTTCCCCACATTCAATCGATGATATCTTTGATGTTGTTGGTCACCATTCTTTTTGTTCATTTCTTAATACTAATGAAGCAGAAAATGATGCATTCTGTTTTAGAGGCAATGACATCCTGGAGCTTGCTAATTATGACGATTAGGGTAGCAACCGCTCATTGGTCACTGGTTTTTCTCCCCTGTACATGAAGTTGCGGACACCTACACTTTTGTTCGATTTAGTCGCCTTTTGGAGGTATACATTTTTTCTAAGCTCACTTGGTCTAAGCTCTTTGCTCGGGTTCCTATTATCTTCGGTGCTACCCATTTGCTTTGTCAGGGAGAACATCACGTTCTTGGTCCTTTTGGGCATAATTTTCTTCATCATCCTCATCTTTCGGCAATGGAACTTGGATGTGAAGCCCCTGGTTATGCATTTATTATTAATTCTGCATTTTCATTTCATTTGAATGGGATGACAATATGGGACGTGCTGATGTTTTTTTTGGTGGGTTGAAATCGAGATCATGCACCTGCCTATGGAAGTTTCTTGCTGGGTTCCCATTTGATCATGGCAAAGCTACTATTAACCTCGAGAATGAGTTTTTCTCACCACGGGAGAATTTGGAGGCGAAGAATTAAAGTAAATCAGGGTTTTATTATTTATATATGTAAGTAATTTTGTTATTTGTAATTAGGGTTTAAAGTAAATAAGTTCTTATCTATTTAAGCCCTTTGGCCGCTTCTTCGTACGTTGATTGTTGATTTTGATAAAAAAAAAACTTGAGAGTTCATCTTATAAAGGTGTGTTAAACTTTAGACCTTATTTCCAGGTATTCTAAGAATCAACAGATTTAGGAGGGTTGTATTTCTGGATATTCGTAGAATAAACGGATCTACGACGGTTACTTATTAGGGTTCAAGATCGAGGCATCCGATGGCTACATCAGTTATTAAACGTTTGCTGGATATTATAGTTGGGATATTATAGTTTTAGGTAAAAGCATGTAATCAGTTTAAATGGAAATGATTTTTTGGGATTTCTTTTAACCCCAGGGTGAGATATCACTTATACATGGATTGATTACTTTTCCATTATGTGGTGTTTTGTTATTGATATGGTTAATCGAATTGACACTAGTGTGATTTTCTTTACCTTCGATTCTCATAAACTAGTGCACGGCCTTTTAACTGGATCTTGTAGTCTCGGTGTGAAAAAGAATTCCATGAATCATCATTTCTCTGCATAAGATAGAAATCTCCCTGAACCAATGTCGTTTCTTGATCTTCTGTCAGGATAGAGCTGCCTGTATATTTTTTGACTTCTCGTCAGCTATTTCGCAAACTAGTTTCATTGATCATTTAGAAAATCTACTCAGTACTATTGGCTAAGCTTCTGCATGTTTGACCTTTTGGACGAGTCTGTTTGTGGTTGATGTGATTATTTGTAAGCTAGGCTTTTGCTGAAATCATTAGTTCCATTTTCAAGTTAATTACAGTGCTTCCCAGTGCAGATTTGCATCTTGGCTATCAGTCCTCTTGTCCCTTGTTGCTCTAAATTAACGAATTTCCTCTGGTGTAATTAACAATATTCTAGGAAGCCATTAACTTTCAAGTTTAGCAAAAGATATTTTTACCACCGTTGGTTTTGTAAAACTAAATTGAGTTAGCGGCAGATATCAAACTGTGGTTGGAACATGACATGGTGGTGTTTCCTACCACCATAATATGTTAGCTTAATAGGTTTATGTTTCCTCCATTGTTTAGAAAAAAAAAAAACAAAATGGGAAAATAATTTTCATTTCTTCTCAAACATCAACCTCCCATAGTTCAGACCTAGCATAATCTTGGAGTAATCCAAACCAAACTTAATGGATACTCTACGCCAACTCTAAAACTTTGAACTTTTTTAACTTTCTTATTCTTCATATCAAACACACCAATATCTTCATGGATGCTGAAGTCATATTGTTTTTCAAAATTGTGAGTGAAATATATGCAATTCTGATGGTGGAAATTGGGCACACAAGTTGCGGATGTGCGAACTCTGGCGCGATTATTTGTCAAGAATATGGAATCATTGTTTTCCAACTCGAAATTTCAACCCACTCGGACTTTTCTCTATCACCGGGGTTCTCACTTTTCTTCTTGGTGAGCTTCAATATATCGAACCTCCCAAGATCTTTATAATGGAAATTATCTATTTCTCTACCAAAAAGTCTTTGCACGGTCTCCATCGGAAGCTTCCTCCAGATATGGCACGCAGTTATTCGTCCATGTAGGAGCAACCTCAACAACGGGAACTATTTGATCCCCGCGTAATCAAATGAAAGAAGCGGATCGTAATACTCCAAGGCGTGAAACAATCCATTGAGGAAAATAATGTCACGATACGAGTATTCTCATTCACTGAAAATAATCCAGGAATTTGGGCAGGCTTTCTTGAGGGCTAAAATACACGTGCTGCCATTAAGCTGACAGATTGCGCCGATAACAAAGTCGAATTTCGTAGGATCACAGGACAAAATCACTTTGTTGAAAGACCCGAAAAACTGAAAGGGACTTTGATGCTCTTTCCCGTAAGAGGATTAGGTAATTCGATTGAATGATCAAAATCACGGGTGATCAACCAGCCATGGGAGAAATAAATATGAGCGTTCATATAAATATAAGGAACTTGGAAATCTTGATTGTAGAATTTATTCTTGTTGATGTTATACAAGGAAAGCTGATTGAACTCATGATACTCATCACCAAATAATTTTCCGCGGCGAATTAACGAAAGCATTGGCAGCAATGGTGGTTGTGTTGCGATTCGTTGTGGTTTTTGACTGAGAGCTACGGATTGAACGATTGGCAATCCGCAAATTATACAGAGCACCCGGTGCGCTTAGAGCGCCGCCTGCTCACGGCTCTTTTTTTCATTTTTTAATATTATTTTTTTAGCCTAATAAAATATATTTTAATGTAATTTCAACCACTTTTACACATTCAATTAATAAGTTAGGATTTAATGTATAATATAACATGAATAAATTATAAATTTTTTTAATTCAATTAGGCTACCCTAACCTAATTGAATTAAAAAAATTTAAACCGAATAAAAAAATATAATATGTTTAGTATTTAGCGTTTAAGTGGGTTTAAATATTTTAATTAAGTTAGGGTTTAGTAATTAGTGTTTAGGTTGGAGTTTAAAAATAATAAATAGTAAAATAAAAAAAAAATTAAAAAAAAATGGCAAAAAACAGAGGTGAACGCGCGTCCAAGCGCACGCCCACCCGCATAGCACCGAGTGCCCAGGATAACAACTGGCAGTTTGCTCCAAATCGAATGTAATCATAAGAATCGGGTAATTTATCTAGAATCACGTATAGAAGATCTTGAGGAAGATTCCTCCAATCTATGAACGACCCTTTTTGACTTTTAATCGAAACTGATCTTCTCACCATGCTGGGATACCTTGTGAGGAAGAAAATCTATTTGATTTTTTACAATGTATTTGTTCACGAACAAAAGGTTCATGCTACATTGCTTTATAGAGGTTTTTTATCCATCAATCCTTTTTTTTTTTTTTTGTTCCCTGCAAAATGTTGATATTATTTTATTTTGGTTTAAGCCTTTTTCTTTTACCACCCTTTTTCTACCCTACACCTCCCTCGTTCTATATCTGGTTTAAGGCTTAAGGAAAAGAGGTTTTACACTGATATTTTAAAATCCTTGGAAAATAAAGGAAAAAGAATTTGATTTTTGTTGTGGTAGAAAGTGATAGAATTGCTTGCTCCGGTTTTCAAAAACGGGTGACTCTATTTAAGGATTGTGATTTGCCTGCCCTAAATAGTGATTTATTATTGTAAAACTCAATTCACATGAAGAGCCAAACA